ACACAGATACAAAATGGACATTCATCTGTATACCCCATTTTTTCTAAGTTCCGTTATTGAATATTATAGGTGTGTAAACTCAGCAAAATAGTCTAAAAGAGTCCAGCAGCCCATAATAGCATTGGGTCTTCTGTTTAACTGGCAATGTCAGAAATTATTGACCTGAGTCCCCCACAGCTCAACTACACAGCATGGCTTCATTTCCTATATTTCGTCTTCATACTTTCCTACTGGAAGGTTAAGACCAAGGTAAAGCAGGACCTGTGCAACAAGAATTGTAGCTTTTTGGTCTGAGAAGGGCAGTGGAGTCTATAAGAATTTTGACTGTCATTTTAGCGACCATCTTTTTGTCAGTGATGCCCCAAATCGTAGCCAGCTTCAACCCTAGACACTTGCCAATTCTGTAACTGTACACTGGCTAACTAGCTGAATATCCTTGCTGTGCTGCAGAATCACACATAACTTATTGTTACTTCCTTACCCCAGAGCTGCTCTTGCCGCTTGGCACTTGTCATTCTTACCTTCTTGTCAGTATTGGGAATCAAACCAAGGCCCTTCACACTGAGACCCAGGCCCAGACTTTTTTTTTTTTTTTTTGGCGGAACCGGGGTTTGAACTCACGCCCTTGCGCTTGCCAGGGAAGTGCTTATTCTACTGAGCCATCTCCCCGGCCCTCCAGACCTTTTTTACTTTTCACTTTGAGACAGGATCTTGCCCAGGCAGGACTTGAACTCGTGATCCTCCTGCCCCGGTGCTGGGGTTACAGGTGTGTGCCGCCCTGCCTCTTGGCATATGTTCTAGGTACTCCCACTGGGTACCTGACACCACAGGTGGCAGAAACCGTATACAGATTAGTATCTTTTCCTATACATGCATAACTCTAATAAAGCTCTATTTATAAATTAGCCCAGAGGCTGAGTGTGGTGCCGCATGCGTGTGATCCCAGCACTTGGGAGGCTGAGGCAGGAACATTACTACAAATCGGAGGCCAGCCTGGACTATGTAGCAAGCTCAAGGCCAGATGACTACATGGTGAGACCCTATTTTTTTTTTTTTTAGCCCAATGATGGATTAAAAACAATAACTAGTAATAATATAGAAAGATTAGATTAGACTAGTACACTGTAATAAAATTACTAGCAGTTCTACTCTTAGGCTTTGTAAATATGGGCTACTGCTGGTCCTGTTGGGACATACTTAAATCCTAACATGCAGGAGGCTGAGGCAAGAGGATCATCATAAGTTCAAGACCAGGGGCCGGGGAGATGGCTCAGTGGAATAAGTGCTTCCCTGGCAAGCGCAAGGGCCTGAGTTCAATCCTCGGTTCCTCAAAAAAAAAAAACAAAAAAAAAAAAAACAAGTTCAAGGCCAGCCTGGGACACAGAGACCTTGTCTCAAGGCCTCAGCTCCTCCCCTGAACTCTAAAACAAAAAAAAAACAAAACAAAACTAAAAAAAAATAAACACGAACCCTTGGTGTGGACACCACGAGGGCTACCACGTATACCCAGCGACTTACAGGTGGGTCATGCATAGAGCAGGGATCTGCTGGACACGAGGATGATCCACCCCCGTGGGGTGGAGTGCGATCATTTAATATTTCTGGCCTGTGAGTAGCTGAAACTGCAGGTCAGGAAGAACTACTGAAGTCGCTACTGTTTTCCAAGTGTCTGCTTTTGCCCCTACCCTCTTTGACGAGAGCTCCGCTTTCCTTTTTTTTTCTTTCCCCCTTGTCTCTAGGTCATCTTTTTTGACATTTCCATCAGGTCAGCTTTGTGGAGCTGGGCCAAGGACCCAGGGCCTTCTCGCACGCGCTAGACAAGTGCGGGCCCGAGCTTCCTAGCCCTGAACTCCGCCCTAGCCCTCTGAAGCTTCAGTGTGTCATTCAGGCCTTAAGTTCTTTACAGACTTCTTCACTTTAGAGGTGAGATCTCAACCTCTTGCTTCCTCCTTCCCTTGCTCATCCTGCCCACCAGGCACATGTGTCTCTCTCCTGTCCCTGAGTGCCACCTGGGTCCGTGTACCTTGTGCCTTATGGCCTTGGCATGCAGTTGAGCCTGCAGCTCAGCCGAGCGTCCCCCATGCCACCACTCGGAACCTCTCCTGCAACCTGCTTTTCCTTTACCTAGGTTGCTGCTCTGCTGTCCTTTTTATATATGTAGTACGGGTCTACAGGGAGTCACTACGCCTAGATCAGACTCTACTGATCCTCCTGTGTTCAGCCTCCCAAGTGCTGGGATTACAGGCACGCACCACCACGCCCAGTCTCAATGGCTGTCTCAGTGTGCACAACAGGTATTGAACCCCCAGCCCTTGCATCTGCCTAAGCAGGTGCTTTAATCCACTGAGCAATCTGGCTGTCCCTCTGCTGTCCCTCTTGTTGTTGCTTTTGCTGTTACTGGAAATAAATGCCAGCCTGGTGCCTACCAGTCCCCACTTGCTGTCCTGTTGAGCTTCCTCGCCAGCCCTTGGTCTTCAAGACAGGGCCTTGCTGCCCTCGTGGCCTCAAACTTGGAGTCCTCCTGCCTTGGCTGCAGGGGGGCTGGGATCACAGGTGTGCGCCCCAGTGCCCACCTGCTCCTTTGCACCTATGGCTTGATTTTCAGTGGTCTTCTTGAGACATGTTTTGCATATCCTGCTTTTAAGTGGATGATGAGTTTTAGTAAATCCGTCACTGTCCAGAATCATCACCTGAGTGTGGTCAGCCTTGCTTCCGTGCCAACCCCAGCAGCCAGTCCTCTATGTCATGGCTCTACGGTTTTGTCTCTTCTAGTAATTTCTTTTTACTTTCTTTTGTTCTTTTTTTTTTTTTTTTTTTCAGAACCAGGGATTGAACTCAGGCCTTGCGCTTGCCAAGGAAGTGCTTATTCTACTGAGCTCTCTCCCCGGCCCCTACTAATTTCATTTAAAAAAAAAAAAAAAATCACACAAGGGCTGGGAATCTAGCTCAGTGGGAGAGTGTTTGCTTGGCATTGCGGGCCCTGGGACCAATGCCCAGTACCAAACCAAACCAAACCAAATCAAACTGAGACAAGATTCCCCACGTACAATATGAAGTCATCTGAGACTAGCGGTTTGCATGACACTTTGAGTTCATCCATGTTGTTTAATGTATCAGTAGTTGGCTCTTTTTTATTTTTATTATTTTTTTTTATGTTTTGGTGTCAGGAGTTCAACTCAGGACCTTGCGCTTGCCAGGAAGGCGCTGTGCCACTGAGCTTAATCCTCGGCCCAATGGGCTCTTCTTTATTGCTGGGTAGTATTCCACTGTATGGATACACAGCATTTCAGCTACTCAGACACCTGTCGGTGGACATTTGGTTTGTTTCCAATTTGAGGCAATGACAGCCAGTGTTTCTGTAAGCATTTGTGTATAAGGGCTGGGTGTGGACACGTTTTCTTTCTTTTTGGGTAGAACTGCTGGGTCATGTGTTCAATGCCTGATTGACTTTTTTTTTTTTT